TACTCAAAACAAAACCTTTCAATGAAGGTATAAAAATGTGCAGAGATAGAGTATGAATAAATACTAAATCTAAAACAACAAAAATGAAAAGAAAACACTGAAATCTTCAAAGAAATCAAACCAAGCAAGGAAAACCAGTATCAATTAATTGAGTTTGTGCATTAAGCGTAATCAAATGTAGTTATGCTTGAATTGAACACCTAATTCAATGAAATGAATATTTGCAAAAAGTAAAACATGCCTAATTCAGTGAAGTAAAATATAGAAGAGCTTAAACTGATGCACGCAGCAGGTTTACCAAAAACTATGTTTTCAATTGAACCAGATCTCAAGAAACTAGGCAGATATTAATTCAAGGCATTCAATCGAATGCTTCGTTTGCAATACAACAAAACAATTCAATATCAACTAATCTAGAAGGATGCCATGAAGTGAATTAGAAGAAGGTGCAAATTTCAAATCAATGAACAAACTGATCAAAAAGAAAAGAATAATAAAAGAAAAGGAAGAATCACTCACCTAGCAAGTACAATCAACCAAAATCGTAGAATCATAAATAGATTCAGGTAAATTGAGCTAGAAGTTAAACATAAAATTAGATCTGAAACGAAACCAAAAACAAAAAATACGGCAAACTCAGATCTGGTTGAAAGAAAAGGAGATCGTACCTGATGCAATGGGAACCGAAACACAAATTGAAATCCAAGGACGAATTCGATTATCAAAATGACTCCGTACTGCAGAACAGAGAGAAGCGAGGAGAAGAGAGAGAATAGAAGAGAAGAGAGATGAAAAGAGGAGCGGAAAGTGCGAAGAGCTCCTCAGAAATCGTTTGGTGTGGGAATTAGATATTGAAATGAAACAAAGAGGCGTTCGTTCTCTCAGTTTGATTTCGCTCTCTTTATTTCCGGGTTAAGCGAGAGAAACACAGAGCGCATAAATAAATTAATATAATAATTGCTATTTAAAAAAAAAAAAAAAAAAAAGACAGCCCAACCTATACGCAGAATATTGAGGGTTGCAACTTTTTGTTTTTTATTACTAGAAAATTACTATTTCGGAATCATGATTTTATAAAAGACTCATTTAATAAAAATATATTTTATAAACAATACGTATTTTTAAGTTATATTTTTTAAAAATTAAATTTATATTTTAAATTATATAACTTTAATAATATTTCCAAATTTCTCTTCGTTATTTTTCCATATGGTATGATTTTTGGATTATTAATAATATATGTTTATAAAATAATATTGTATTTTTATTTATAATTCATCATTTTTTATTTTATGGTTTACTATTACTCATTTTAAATCAGTTATTTTTCTTTTATTTTATTATTTATTTTCTATTTATTAATTCAATTACTTATTCTATATATTTTCTGTACTTTGGCTTATATATTGATAGCATACCGTTGATTTATTTATTAAATAATTTTCTATTTTTTGAAGTTTTCTGTAATTTTGTAAGACAATAACTTGTTGTTTAAAATTAAAAAATAATATTTTTATATAAATGTAGTTTATCTTTCTATTTTTTATGTAAATTTATATTTTTCTTTTTTGTAAATCTATTTTATATTTTTAAATACTTTAAATTTGATTGTATTTTTTGTTATTTAATAT